GAACACAGGGAGGGTGGAGGGGGGGATGAGAAGAGCACAGGAAGGGTGGGTGAGTGTGAGAAGAGACCGCTAGGGGAGGGTGGGGGAGAGGAGAGACCACTAAAGTGCAGGGGAGAGCTCTACGGGACAGAAGGGGCAGCTCTATAGGACAGGGGCCAAGACAGGGAGCTCTTTCACACTACGCGCGCGCACACACACACAATGCATCCCATACACAGAAACACAACATGCTTCCCTTACACACAGAGAAACACACAATGCATCCATTACACACACACACACAATGCAACCCTTACACACAAAGACAATGCATCCTTTGCACACATACACAGAAACATACAATGCAAACCCGTACACACACATGCAAACACACACACTTCTTTTCTTACATACACACAGAAACACAATGCATCTCTTACACTCAATGCACACACATACAGACACACACCTTGCATCCCCTATGCATACAAACACAGATTCACACAATGCATCCCTTACACACAACCAGAAACACATAATACATCCCTTATACACAAATACACACTGCTTCCACTACACTCAAACACACTGCATCACCTGCACAAACGGGTAACCCTATAAACTACATACCATAAGCACACATATTAGATCCTCTACACTAACACATAACACATCCCCTACACACTCCACTCCCTGTGAGCGAACTCATGGGTGGGTGGAACTTATGAGTGGGCCTTTATGGGGCATACTCACCATCAGGCCCTGGGGCCCAGACCTTGAGCTGTGTAAGGGGCCCCAAAAAAATTGAGCTGCTTCCAATTCTCCCAGAACATTGAATTTTGTGACCACAGTTGCAAACAGCCTCCAGAGATCCTGTTCTACACCAGAGCAGTGGAGCCAAACTGCAGCCCATCATCATCCTCATCTGCTTGTAAGTAGGCAATCTAGTATATTATTAGTGACACTAATCTATAATTTACCTCACATTAAAGGGACACTATAGCTTAATGAAGTGGTTCTGGTGTCTATAGCTTGTCCCTGCAGGCTTTTTAATGTAAACACACACTGTGTACAGTGCTGGCGTTAGTTCATATGGCAGATCATATGGGTGGGGCATTGTGATGTCACATGGGGAGGCAGCAAATTTTTATTTTGTCTAGGGCGGCAAAAATCCTTGCACCGGCTCTAATCCTGGGCAGGTGCACCAGTCTACTGGTGACCCACAGGAGGGGAGTGCACTGATTGCACTGCACTCTCCTCCTGCCCAGCCCCGTCTTTACTGCAGTGCAAGTGCCCTCTGCCCCTAATTTACAGTGGCTCACACTCACAACAAGCAGTGCCTGGAGCCGTGAAGGAGCGGGTATGGCAAAGAACTACTGATTAGCATAACATCAATATCCGTTATAAAACCAGGAAAAGGTGGGCATGGATGGTGAACTGATTTGGTGATGCAATGGGCCACTTGACTGGTTTTGCCCCCCAGGCCTAAGGCTGCCAGCCCTCCCCTGGGTACGCGGGTACAGAGGACATCTGTCTCCTGTACCCGGCCGGACTAACAGGAAGTACACACTCAGTGTGCACTTCCTGTTAGTCCGGCCGGGTACAGGAAACAAAAGCTCCCTGTACCCGCGGACCATACAGAGCTCGGCCACGCTAAAACAGTGGTTGGGGGGATAAAGAAATTGGAAAAGGAATTTGGGAGGGGGGATATAAAAAGTGGGGGATAAGAAAGAAATTGGGAGGGAATAAAGAAAGAAATTGGGAGGGGAGATAAAGAAAGGAGTAGGAGGGGATAAAGAAAGCCAGGAGGGTATAAGAAGATTGGGGATAAAGAAATTGGAGGGGGATAAAGAAAGATTGAGGGGATAAAGAAAGAAATTGGGAGGAAATAAATTGGGAAGAGGAAAGAAAGAAATTGGGAGGGGGATAAAGAAAGAAATTGGGAGGGGGAGAAGGAGGTGGAGGGGGAGAAGAAGGAAATTGGAGGGGGGGAGAGAAGGAAATTGAAGGGGGGGAGAGATTGACATTCATCACACACAATGCACCACTTGCACACAGAAAAACACACAATGCATTACACACACAGACACACAGACACAAGCAATGCAACCGTTACACACAATGCATCCCTTAAACACACAGAAACACACAATGCATTCATTACACACACTCAATGCAACCCTCACACACACTCAATGCATCCCTTACAGACACACACACTGCATCCCGTACATACACAGAAACACATACAAACACAGATTCACACAATGCATTCCTTACACACATATCAGGACATCCCCTACACACTCCACCCCCTGTGAACAAACTCATTGGTGGAACATGAAGGTGGACCCTGGGACCCAGACCTTGAGCTGTGTAAAGGGCCCCCAAAAAATGGAGCTGCTTCCCGTATCCCCAGAACATTGATTTTTGTGACCACAGTTACAAACCACCTCCAGAGAGCCTGTTCTACACCAGACCAGTGGAGCCAGACTGCAGCTAGAGCCCATCATCATCCTCATCTGGTTGTAAGTAGGCAATCTAGTATATTATTCGTGGCACTAAGCTCTAATTTACCTCACATTAAAGAAACACTATGGTCCCCAGAACCACTGCAGCTTCATGTAGTGGTTCTGGTGTCTATAGCCTGTCCCTGCAGGCCTTTTAATGTAAACACGGCGGCACTGCAGCACTGGCGTTAGTTAACATGGCAGATCATATGGGTGTGGCATTGTGATTTCACATGGGGGGTGGGCGGCAAACTTTACTTACTTACAGGAGTCTTTATAAGGGGGGATAAGCAGGGGATTTGTGGAAAGGGGTTGCGGGGGTTTTGTAGACGGGGCAGTACAGGATTTGTAGAAGGGGCAGGACAGAGGTTTTGTAGGAGGGGCGGGGCAGGACAAGGGTTTTGTAGGAGGGGCTGACAGCGGTTTTGCAACGTTTACAAATTGTAAAAAAAAAAGAAAAAAAACCTTTAACATTTTTTACAAGTTTTTTTTGGGGGGATGGGGGAGGGGGGCAAGGGGGTGCCAAGCACAGGATTCGCCCCGGGTGCCAAATGCTCTAGGTACGCCCCTGGATACAGAACCATACTAATGGCCTCCTTTTACCACCTTTAAGGTGTGTAAAGCAGATTCATAGTATCCTATGTATTCCCAAAAATCTTCATATATTAATCATAAAGAACTTAAAACCAGCTATCTTCAGTCACTATGAACTAGCATTGTAACCCTAACCCATGGAATCCCAAACTGCTTGGGCTGTAGCTGGGCTCTTCCAATGGGATGGAGGCTTAACTCTCATGGGACCCACATTAAAAACATAATGGCAGGTGAATTTTTTTAATTTATTTTTATTATGTGTTTATTGCATTCCATTAAAACATTTATTTAAGCGTGAGTACAGACAGTTGTTCAAACACGAGTACTGTAGTGTGTACAGTTTTGTATTATCACTTAAATCCATGTACTTTCCCTACAAAGCCTTTGAGGGAGGTGAGAGATATGGTGGCTCCAGGTGTAGAACGCTTAGGTTTGCCATGGTTAATACACTGTTTATGTTACGCATTATCCAGAGGTTTGACATGTCTGCCATTTAGCCATATATAACAGTAAGAGGTAGAACATTTATAACCACTGTTTGTCACAACAGTAACGTGTGTAGGTATGGTGTTTTATAGCAAGGGTTTATCCTCTCTTTCAGTTAGGTGTGTCTGTTGTGTAGCCAAGTTACAGCACCTTTTATGGTGCTGGCCAGAGTTTTCCCTATTTCCCTTTTGAGGGGATTGATCCGGCATTGTGTCTATGGGGGGTGTTCCCTACATCTAGTTTGTTGCTGGCCCGCCCTGTCCCCTCCTTGAGCTATCCTTGTAAGGGGTCAGGATGGCAGGTGGATTTTAACCCATTATTAACCAGACTGTTTTTACATTTTCTTACCGTTAAGGACCAGGGCTGTTTTTACATTTCTGTGGTGTTTGTGTTTAGCTGTAATTTTCCTCTTACTCATTTACTGTACCTACACATATTATATACCATTTTTCTTGCCATTAAATGTTTTTTCTAAAAATACCATTCTTTTTATCATATCATATAATTTTCAATAACAAAATATAAAATATGATGAAATTATTTAAAAAAAACACACTTTTTCTAACTTTGACCCCCAAAATATGTTACGCCTCTGCAACCACCAAAAAACACCCATGCTAAATAGTTTCTCCATTTTGTCCTGGGTTTAGAAATACCCAATTATAACATGTTCTTAGCTTTTTTTTGGAAAGTTATAAGGCTACAAGTACAAGTAGGACATTGCTGTTTTCACAATATATATTTTTTAAATTTATCAATAGTGACATTGTAACAATATTATCTGTCATAAATCTCTGAATCACACCTCACATGTACATATTTTTTTTAAAGTAGACAACCCAGGGAATTCAATATGTTTGTGTTTGTGACTAAGTGGCTACTAAAAAATACTGGACATATACCCCATTTGCAATACCTTGGGTTGTCTTCTCTTGCAGATGGAATGCCATCATGGGGGTAATTCTTATTCCTGGACTACCATACGGTCTCAAAGGCAACATTACCAATCTGGCAAATTTCAATGTGGAAAAAAGAAAATGCAAGCCCTATATTTGACTCTGTAACTTTTGAAAACACAATAAAACCTGTACAGTGGGGGTTCGGTTTTACTCGCGAGACTCAGCGGAAGTCAAATATTGTTTCAAAACAGTAAAATGTATCCCAACAATAAAAGTGCAGTTTGTGTGTGAAAAATGCAGATAACGACACTTTCACTGTCATCATCGTTCTGCTATGTTTTACTGTTTATTTGTGTCCAGCGAAGTCTCCCGTGTAAAACAGTACCCCCCATGTACAGGTTTTATGGTGTCCTGGAAAGTTACAGGGTTCAATATAGGGCTTGCGAGCCAAATTCTCTGTACTTTCTGCCTGGTGTGTCGGGTAGGTCTCTCAAATTGTAAATAATAAAATGTCTTGATTATGTAAAAATATTATATAAATATATTTGTAGAATTTTTTATATATATATGTGTACATTCTAAATGTATTTTGATTTAAATATATATGTATATTAATATCAAAATACAGTTAGAACAAATTTAAACCTGTATTTAATTTTTTTTTAATTATTTATATTAATTATATATATATATATATATATATATATATACGTCTGTACATAAAAAGTGTATTTTATTATTAATATATATAATTATAGAATAATAAATTGTGTCTGTGCATATAACATTACTTAGATCATATATATATATGATCCAAGTACTTTTATTTACTTTATTAAACTTTTTAACAACTTTTATTAACTTTTAAAATATTTTTGCAGGCATAAGGGGGACAGACTGAAAGCGCAGGCACTCCCCCTGCAGGCACTGCACAAGATGGCTATTCCGGTCATGTGATCGCGAGGACCCTGCTATCACATGGCCCGGGGGGCCGGATTAGCCGCAGGAGGACTGCCTGGGATGCCAGGCAAGTCCCCACATCGTAATTGCCAGCGAGGGATCGCCAGCAATCAGGAAAGTGCATATTTGCGTTTGGACGTCCGCAGTCGATACTGACCGTTTGTATGTCGAAAGTACCTGGTACGTCCGAGGTCAGGAAAGGATGAAAAGAAAGATTTAATGGTGCCTATCCGCTGGAGGACAGGCAAAAGGACCCCTTTTTGAGGGGAGGTGAATCATTTTATATTTTCCTTTATTTAAATACGTAAATTCCTGTCCTGAGAGGGGGGAGCTTAACCCATATGTGATGCTGACATGGATTAGCCAGGGAATATAGTTTTTTTTTTTTTATTGCTCATCCTTTTCCCCTTCTATGATCAGTGTACTGCAAAATGTAGACATAATATTTATTTTGTATACAATTTGCAGTATACTGGCCAAAGACCCATTTTGGTTTGGTAGTATTGCATTGGTTAAATTTGTACGAAGTGAAACGTCACATGGATAAAACTTGATCGTCCAAAACAATTTGTATTAAAGGACCACTCTAGGCACCCAGACCACTTCAGCTTAATGAGGTGGTCTGGGTGCCTGGTCCAGCTAGGGTTAACCCATTTTTTCATAAACATAGCAGTTTCAGAGAAACTGCTATGTTTATGAATGGGTTAAGCCTTCCCCCTAATCCTCTAGTGGCTGTCTCATTGACAGCCACTAGAGGCGCTTGCGTGCTTCTCACTGTGATTTTCACAGTGAGAGCACTCCAGCGTCCATAGGAAAGCATTGATAATGCTTTCCTATGCGACCGGCTGAATGCGCACGCAGCTCTTGCCGCGCGTGCGCATTCAGCCGACGGGAAGGAGAGAAGGAGGATCGGAGGAGGAGAGCTCCCCGCCCAGCGCTGGAAAAAGGTAAGTTTTTACCTCTTTCCCCCTTCCAGAGCCGGGCGGGAGGGGTCTGTGATAATGCTTTCCTATGCGACCGGCTGAATGCGCACGCAGCTCTTGCCGCGCGTACGCATTCAGCCGACGGGAAGGAGAGAAGGAGGATCGGAGGAGGAGAGCTCCCCGCCCAGCGCTGGAAAAAGGTAAGTTTTTACCTCTTTCCCCCTTCCAGAGCCGGGCGGGAGGGGGACCCTGAAGGTGGGGGCACCCTCAGGGCACTATAGTGCCAGGAAAACGAGTATGTTTTCCTGGAACTATAGTGGTCCTTTAATACAGTGTCTTAAATACAGTGTAATAAATTGAGGGAGGGAGAGGCCAGTGTATTAAATTGAGGGAGTGGGCAGTGTATAGGAGAGATGAGAGGGAGAGGGCATTGTATTACGTTATGGGAGGGAGCAGTGTAGTAGAATGGTGGGAGGGGGGCAGTTTGTTACATTGGGTGGGGGCAGTGTATTAAATTAGAGTGGAGAGAGGGGGGCAGTGTGTTGGATTTGGGGGCAATGTATTGGATTTGTAGACAGTATATTAGAATGGGTAGAAGGGGCAGTATTAGATTGGGTCTTCATGGAGATGCTGATTGGCCGCAAAGCTTTTTGCCACACATGCACACTAGCTTCCCAATGCTTTCCTATAGGAAGGCATTGGATTGGCTGAGATCATCAAGTTTAATGATCTCAGCCAACTTGAAGAACATGCTCATAGGACTTCAAAATCAACAAGATAACGTAATTTGTTTTTTTACAGCTGTGCAACAGCATACATTCACCATTTCGGTCCCATTACCAAACTTTTCTTAATATGTCAAGGTAGTTGGACTGAAACATTGGTTATATGCAAATGCATCTCCTTAAAATAAATTCGCTCTTTTGTTTACTTTGAAGCCATACGAGCATGAGGACGTCCAGTGTCAGTTAGGCAACTTTTTTTTATACTGTACTTTTCAAAATAAACCTACGTTTCTAAGAAAACTGAAGTTTTGGGGTTTTTTTTTGCGGCCCACATAACGTTAAACCTTGTTTATTTGGCCCGTGTTAGCCGTCGAATTTTACATGCTTGTTCTACATTGTACGCTAGTGGTCCTCAATCCCTCCCACACTTCCCAACTAAGCTACCACCCTGTAGAAGCCCATTTCAACTAAACTAGAGAACAATTAATCCATACACATTCAAAATTAACCCCCTTACTCCAAATGTTCTCATGAACCTCTGAACATTGCTGGAGACTGTCTCCGTCTATACTCTTCCATCATTATAAGTGTGTGCTGCCAAAATCCTCACTTTCTCCTTTTTTCCATAAATATTTCCCATTCCACTTAATGTACATTTCCAAGTACTGTCCCATATCTCTAATACCTACTACGTTTCTCCACCTTAGTCCTTGAATAGCATAGTCCAGATTGTCCATTTTATGTGAATCTACACACCCTGAATAAGTGACACAATTTGATTGCTGTTAAATCCAAAACATGGCTACTATTCTTCTCATTATCAGTACTCTTGTTCTACGTGACTCTTCTTACTTTGTCCAGCTCTCATTAAGTGTCTTCTTTACTGTTACATACTTCTTTTCTCACACAATACTTCTCTGGGTGATATGATCAATTCCTTAGGCCTTCAGTAACATTTTTAAGATGATAATGCTGATCTACCATTTTTCTCTCCAGACCCCAATCCTTACCAAGTAGATTTTGGGGGTGTGGTCAAAGTGGCCCTGACATCATACGCACGCACGCACGCAGCTTTGGCCACGCTTCCCGGAACGTTCAGAGTTTCAACAAACTGATTCCACAGCCGGCAGTGGAGAGAACCAGGAAGGACTCTATCGGTGGGGTGTGAGGCAAGGAGGAAAATCCGGACAGTTTGCTGCTTTTAAATATTTCATAATAAAGTTTGGATTTTTATAATTACCGCAGCTGTGTCCATAGTGTTACATCTTGAACCATTACAGCTAGAGCAGGCTTCTCTGCTCTACACTTGTGAGTGTTCCCTTCTGAAACAGTTATATCTATTTTAGTTTATTTTACAATATTGCCCTATGAGGTTATTTCTTCTTTTTTTACATGTGTACCTTCAATTTGGAGCTAATACCATTACATGTTACTATGAATTTATTAACATGTAAGTGGTGTGCTCTTTGCACAGCATTGCAGCACTTTATTATATTTTGTTTATTGCACTGGTGCACATCAATTATTGCACTTAAGAATATATACAGTTTAGAAAATAGTATTGTCATAATTGTATAATATTTTTGGTATATGGTTTGAAATAAAACAGTCTTAAAGGCACCGCACACCTTATGTTTTTTTTGGTCAATCTGTTTTTTATTTGAGGCATAATTAATACGATACAGAAATTAGAAAAATAATGAAACATGACAACAATGTACATGACAGGATTATAGTAGGTATACACTTTGAATTAGAGTGAAATGTACAGCCTCTTTATTTATTTATTTTTGAAGTTTTTTTGTGAATTCAAAATTTGTTTACTACATGCAATAACAGATAAGTTAACCCCTTAAGGACACAGCTTCAGAAGCTTGACTTACGCTTAATGACACAAGCAATTTTTGCATTTTCTTGCTGTTTGCGTTCAACTGCAATTTGCATCTCTCTCATTTATTGCACCGACACATATTATATACTGTTTTTTAAAGGACAGAAAGGGCTTTAATTTGATATATATATATATATATATAATTTGATATATATATATATATATATATATATATATATATATATATATGCTTACTTATAAGAAAAATGCAAAAAAAATGAAAAATATTGTTTTTTTTTTTTTACAGTTTTTGCAATAATAATGT